AAAAAAATAATAATAATAACAAGTTTTGATAGTTCATCTGACAGGAAAATTATAACTTACCACCGAAATGGTGAATGCAGTAGAAAGTTTTTCCTCATTCTCCTTTTGAGTGACCATCAAGGGAAGCTGCAACCTCTCCAAGTCTTCCTCTTTCATACTTGCACAAACAATTCCAGTCCCGTGTTTCACAATGAAAGCCATAGCCTCCGGAGTAACTTTTGATGCAGCCATTATCAGATCCCCTTCATTTTCTCTATCCTCATCATCTACTACCACAACCATCTGCAATCTTAATCCAAATAATTAAATAAAAGTAAAAAGGTGATGGCTTAATAAGTATTTTAGCATTCACCAAAATGACAGTATCAATGGAGAGAACGAACTTTTCCTTTGCGAATATCTTCAATGGCCTCTGGAATAGACGAGAAACCTTCTGACGGCAGGTCCAAATCAAATTCGTCATTTTCTATGGGGAAGCCACTAGTAGTAGGAGTCATATCCGCTGCAAGGGCTCCAAAAGCTACCAAATCGGGTTGTACCTCGACTCCCCCAGACAAATCGCTGATGATATTGTTACTTGCAATATTACTGCCACTAGAATTGGAGAGAAGGCCACCTTCCCCTGATGACAAAGCGGATTTAATTCTGCCTTTAGCCTTGATGCTGAAGCCAGCCCACATAATCGGCTGATCAAAGAACTCTAATGGCCAACGATTAACAGAATATAGATTTACATAATGCAGTCCGTTGAATAGTCTAATATTTTTAGAAGCCCTGCATAAACGAAAGGTTAATTACAATTCACAGACATTAGCATACACCTCAGAATCGAACCTCTCTGAACGCATTGTTTGTGAATAACTGAAACTCAACTCTCTTACATAATCAAAGAACACAAAAACTAACAGCATCAATGACATGCAATAATAAGAGTTTTCTTGATTGAGTAGATATAGAGTGTGTTTGATTGACTTTATTTTTCATGGAAAATGTCATTTTTCCATCCAAATTCCTACTCTTGTGGTGTTTGATTGGCAATTTTTTTCACGAAAATTATTTGCCAACTTTTGGTCACGTCATCATATTTTCCTCAAAAATAAAGTTTCTCTCTCATCCATCACTCACTCTC